TTTTTTTTTTTTTCATTTTGTTTATGTCAGGTTTTTCAGAAACAGTGGGTTATTTTCCGATGGGTTTGAAGTAATATTGAGAGAGAGAATGATTTGGAAAAAATGAATGGGATAGCAGGTGCAGAAATTGTATAGTACTGACAAGCTGTTGTCGTCCGGTTGTCACATGTGGGAAAAAAGAATTTTGGAAGAGCACTTACATAAAATTTTGTCGTTAAATCGTTATTGTTTAATAAATTTTCCGGTTATGCAAATTAGAATTTTTAGGTGAATTCTAAGGGTGAATTGTGAACATTTTTGGCAATTTGTCTTTTTTGATGGAGCGAAAGGTGTCCGGAGTTGAAGAAATTTGAGAATTTCGAAGGTTACGTGCGACAAAGTGGATTTTTCTCCCGCGAATCGCTACAAATATTGAAAAAATAGGTAATTCCCAAGAAACTCGGTTTTACACGGGGTAAAGTGGCTTGGAAATGATTTCTGTGTACACAGGTCTCGTCCAGGTACACTGACGGATAAATCAGCGCACAGAGAAAACCCGCAGAGAAAGATAACGGATGCGGCAATAAATAATGCTATCCCTCCCCCTCTCTGTCCAAGTTGCCTACTGTCTGTACACGTTATATGCACCGTGAGAGACAGTCCGATATATATATACACAGGTATATATATACTATCTGCTATCTGTCCGATCGTTCACCGCAGTCGCGAGCAATCAATTTGCGCCCCGATAGCCCCTTACCCTGTCTTAGACGAGTTATATCGTTCCTTAAAACATTAATTTTCCACTTTTTTTTCCCCTCCACAAAAAAAATGAAAAACCCAACTCAATCTCTTTGCAAATGAAGAAATCGAAAAGTTAAGACGTTAATGTCTGACATTAATTCTTCCTCTTGCGCTCTTTGTTTCGATAATTTATTCACAGCGTCGGCAAAAATCTTGGCAACTTTTTATTGCAATGTACATTCTTATTTTCAAACTCAGATTGTAATTCGCGGAACTGGCAACAGTTCACTAGTGTTTAACAAGAAACTCCAATTAGTTTTAGCGCTCGTGTTATTTATGGGTGCGATTCGTCAATGTTACTGCCGGATGAGAAATTCTGGAGTCACACTCGGTGTTTATTAGTGGAGGTATTGCTGATTTAAACATCGCTGTTGTTAGGAGAGAATGGGAAGGTGCGGATGGAAAAACTTTCAGAAAGAATTGTGGAATTTACTGATAACACCTGACGAACGGAAATGTCTGATTAAGCACTGAAAAATATTTCTGCAATATTTATTTAATTGGACACACAGCAAATAAATTTTTAGTTATTTGGTTTCGGAAATCGTTTTTTCTCTCGCTCATGAAAATTTTTGGAATGCAAAGTTCATGCCGGTCAATTACGAGCAATTGTACTGAAAAATCTTGTCCAGTTCCTCACCGAGACTTAATTGGATCTAGAATTTAATTCCCAACATCAAATGGCCATTTTTTCCTCAACTCCCAGTGTGTACATCCTTTATGGTCTTTCAATCTGCGTTCATTCATCCCTTTATAGTTCTCCAGCGTTCGCCCATACCTCAAACTCCTTTCATTCTGTTTCAATGTGGCAGATGGGTATGAAAAAGGTGGTACGAAGAAGTAGAAAAGAGTTGAAATAAATCCAAAAGAGAAATAACCGAGAGTGAAGTAAAGAGAGAGACCTAGTGCTGGGAATTATATCTCTACATTTCACGGAAAAATGTATTAACCATCTCAGATATTACGAATGGAGGCAAATTACACTACCTCACAGTCCTTTTTTCCCCTCAAAAGAATTTATTCCTTTTCAAGGAGTATGAAAACTCCCCCTCCAGGCATTCAATCAAA